GATTTTTATCCGACCGTTCGCAGCAAAATCTTCAAAATTGACCCAAAAATTGTTCATACTTGCAAACTAATACACGCCAGAGGACAAGCGCATGTCAAAAGGTTTCCATCTTAGGAATTGAAAGTCGAAAATGAAGCCTGTCGGCTCATTATCGATTCCTATAGCGACTCGTAGAAATGTCTCATTTTTAATTTCTAGTAAAAGGATATAATGTAAGAGGTTGGCCGGGTGGAAATATTTTTTAAAAACTTCAGGCGAAAATAAGAAAATAAAGTTTACCTTTGGGCGCAACTTGAGCGAAATGTAGAACGCGACTGTTAGCGCTGCAACTTGAGGGAAAACGAATTCAGCAATCTTGAGATATCAGTTGTTAGTATATACACACTCAGTGATCTTGGCGTTTCAAGCAATCTGATTGGTTCGCTATCTCTGGCTAATCAACAATGTACACCTCCGAGCGAGTGGATGATATGAAAAACAAACTGGAGGGCGTAAACTCGCGTTTCGCTAAAGTCTCAGAAGCAGAAATTGCCATTAAATGGCTTCCTTTTAATTTTGTCGAGATCACTTTGTGTGTATATACTAAAACAATTATTCTTTTCAATCTCGGTGAATAGTGGCTTTAATTTAGCCGCTATTCCCCTCGATTTCGAAGAATAATTGTTAGTTAGTAACTCCGCTTTACTTTCGGGAAGGCAAATGAAAAAAGAAAAATTATTTTAAAAACCGGCCTGTCACTCCGAAAGCTTTCTGGATAGCAGTATGCGTATATGATATCCATGCGTGAAACTTTAACAAGATCCCGAAAAACAAAACTTGTATCCCTTTAGTTTTGAAATTATTCGCAGTGGAAGTCGTAAATTTAAATGCGGCCACCGAATACTACTGAATAAAAAGCAGAATACATCACACGCGAATAACAAACATGTCCACAATCGAGACAGTATGAAGTCTTTCACACATTCACATCTGCTGAAATGGTTCGTTCTCAATTTCAAATTTGTTATGATTGCGTCATTAAACTTCACAGCTTTCTATCGAAATTGAGATAAAACAGAAAATCTTATGAATTATTCGAAACCAAGAAAAAGGAAACATATCACATAAAATTCAACATAAAGTTTTTGTCTTTTACACCTTTGTTGAACATCATGGAATTACATTTTGAAAATTTTCTTCTTTTAGAGCGAACCAAACGTGGTATGTAAATTCTAGCTTATAAATTGTTGTTATTTATTTATATGACGGTTATAAATAATACAACACGATGGGGTGGGGTCGGGGGGGTGGGGTCAATGTTTGCATTCGATGCCGATAAAATAGAATTGCGATTACGTAACCGTAGACTACGAGCAGTCCCTCCTTTTCAGCGAAGTCCGTCGTGCATGGAACTCTGGGGGTGAGGCCCTCCACCAGAGTTCCGCACGATGCACAAACACTTCTTTCAGCTCATTTGTTTTTTCTTTCACTGACTTCTTTTGACTAACGCGACGGACCTCGCCAAAAAGTAGGGACTGCTCAATGTCTAATGCAACGGATAACGAGAGTTGAATGAATCTGATCAGTTTGGTGAATCAAAATTATAGCAAAATGTATATGGCGTGTTCGCTCCAAAAGAACTCGATGTTTGTATTCGGTTGTTGTCGATCACTAAACTCAAGGGGTTCACAAGCTCATGTACGAGCTTCTAAACTTATTTTCAAACTTTCAAGGAATTCGAATGCTGATCAATTAAACAAATTGAAAGGCTGGAACAATTTATCTTTTTACTATACTAAGAGACTGTTAGTAGAAGCGTATAAATCCTACCATAGATGCAATACCAATGTTTTAAATGATCTAGTAATGTTAAAACAATCATCTCACTGCCTGAGGAAATCAATGAATATTGAATTTC